GAAACGTGTTATCGACTAGGCTAAAGAGACAGCGATCTCTACAGAATGTTGTGCACAGTTAAAGCTGGAGAACTGTGAAACGTGTTATCGATTAGGCTAAAGAGACAGCGATCTCTACAGAATGTTGTGCACGGTTAAAGCTGGAGAACTGTGAAAACGTGATATCGACTAGGCTAAAGAGATAGCGATCTCTACAGAATGTTCAGCACAGTTAAAGCTGGAGAACTGTGAAACGTGTTATCGATTAGGCTAAAGAGACGTGGATCTCTACAGAATGTTGAGCACAGTAAAAGCTGGAGAACTGTGAAAACGTGATATCGACTAGGCTAAAGAGACGTGGATCTCTACAGAATGTTGAGAGCAATATAGACTGGAGAACTGTGAAACGTGATATCGACTAGGCTAAAGAGACATGGATCTCTACAGAATGGTGAATAGAATAAAGGATGGAGAACTGTGAAACGTGATAACTGTTATACATTTTCATATTAGGGAAAAAACATTTCAAAGATCATTTAGTGAAGCGAAACATATTTTTGAGTAAAAATATAATCCTCAGAGCTGAACATTAGTTAGCTGTTATATTTCGAACTATTTAGGAATTAACTATTTTCTAATTATAAAAAAACACTCGGAAAATTAATAAATATGTCATTTAACTAGCTTTTCTTTATGTGTTTTTGTACGCGTCCAGGAGACAGTCACATGGAATTCCACGGAGGTATCTTATACTTGTGGGGGGGGGGGTCATGCAAAGTTATACAGTGGGCTATCTGCGGGATGCCCTCCACAGAGTTCACACTCCGAATTTTAGCGTCATAAATTCTCAAGTTTACCGTCAAGCCACTGAGATGCATGGGGGATGGGGACTGTTATTAATAGAAATGTTCAAAGCATATGAGTCAGAATTTTATAGGTAAAATAAAATATTAAATCTATTTAATGGGAAATTACAAATACTATATGAGAGTAAAGATCTATTACTTGTTTGCTTTCTTTAAAAAAAAAAAAGGTTGAAAGTGCCTGTTTCAACAGCAGGGGGGTTAAGTTGGTCCTGTGGTATAGCTCTGGATTTTAAGCTGTTGGTGCATTATAGGAATCATATTCAATCCCTTAGCGTAGATGGTGGGTGGAAAGGTGTTGCTAACTGGCTGCCTCTTCTCTAGACTGCAACTCAAAATTAGGGCGGCAGCAGATAGCCTTAGTAGACTTGTCATAAATACAAAATGCAATACAATACAATTCAACCCCCGAGTCGCTGTTTTTCTTTGATCGCAAAAAAAGCCCCGCATTTCTGATAATGTAACGAAACTATATTGTTTTGGTTATAATCTAAGAATATAAAAAAAATTGTTTTTCAGTTAAACAAAGTATTGATGAGTTAAAAAGGGTTATACTTACATGATACTATACAATGTTTCATGATATTGTTATTCCTTGTGAAAAACTTATGTCATACCATTTTTCGTTGTTAGTATTTGTTTTGTCTTTTAACTTTAAAATATTTATAAGTGTTGGTGATATTTTTTTCACGAAGTGATTACCTGTGTTTCTTATTTCTGAATTCCTGTTAGGAACTACTTAGGTAGGCTATGACTCATCGAAGGCAGGCTATGCTTGCGCTTATCTATCTAACGAAACTGTAACATAACATTTTTTTTTTCCAATAGCTTTAAATTTAAATTAATTACCCAAAAGCGTTCATGTTAGTTTTATAGCGAGAGGATTTCTTTACCACAGACCCCCAAAGATCGGTGGTAAATTTACGGACTTACAATGCTAAAATCCGTGATTTGATTCATCGCGGTGTACAGAGTGCAGATAACAACAGCAACATCTTTAACTCAGTTACAGTTTCCATGATCTTATGAATCCAAATTAGGTCTGCTGAATGGGTACGACACTAGTTTAAAGAGTGAATATCGATATAGGTTTTATAAAATAAAAGTAACCTTAATTCTTAAGCTTCATTGTGGTGTGAGTACAAACAAGTTGTTTGTGTCTGTACTCACGTTAGATTCGTGATTTTTCTCGTTGCGTTTTAAAGCCATTATGAAACTCACTAAATACACATGTAATATAAATATATAATGCAAAATAGTGCTGTATATATATATATATAGAATAAAATACCGCCTACTGGTGAAAGTACGTTGAAATGAAAAAAAAAAAACGTTTTTACGTATGAAACATGTAACGTCCATAAAACATTTACATATGCAAGGGAGAAGAAAAACTGTGTTAACACTAGTTTTAATTAATTAATTAGTAATGACAATTGCACAATTTCATAGCAGCTAAAACTTATCTCCTTGTGTTGAGCCTAATATGCAACCTTTAAGCGCATATAAATCACACCAATTTACTGAAATGATTTTATTCCTAATTAACTATTGAAAATTCACGTTAGAGTGTATTCTATTATAAGCATAAGAAATACAAATAACCTTTTGGTATTTTAAAAACTGAATTATCTCATAGTTTCGCCTTGTGCCTCCTTCAAAGGAGTAACATTTTTATCTCCTATTTTCACGCTTTAGCACCTTCAAGGGATTAACATTTTTACATACTATTTTCATCTTTCTCTTGAAAGAACCACTTGGCATTTTTATCTACTCTTTTTGCCTTGTGGTTCTTTCAAGGGATTAACATTTTTATCTACTTGTTTCGCCTTGTGGTTCTTTCAAGAGATTAGCATTTTTATCTACTTGTTTCGCCTTGTGATTCCTTCAAATAATTGACATTCTACTGATCAGAACATTGGATTTATGATCCTCAAGAAGAGCAAGGCCCTAAACGTTAACAATTAAGTGTATTTCCATACTTGTATGTTAATAATCCAAGTAATGAAAATCAGAACAATTAACTTTACTTTGATAATCAATAAAATTCTATCTCTGGAGGAACCAAGAAGCGAAAAGTTAGGTAATGACGTTAATGTAAAAGCTTAATATTACTACGCTGAACAATATAAGAAGTTACCACGGTAAAAAAAAACATAAAAAAAAACAAGCCAGTTATTATTAGCATGTAACAACATTTAAAGTTCCATTAATAAAATGTAAACTCTTAAGATCATTTTAAGTTAATACTATTTAGTATTATGCGTTTAATTATGATAGGCTATGTTAAAGATCAAAACAGACAACTGTTTACAACTTGAGAGAACGTTGAATTTTCAATCATATTCACGTATAAATCTGCTTGTTTGAATATTCTAATTTTACTGTTACTTGTAAAATACACATTAATAAGCTTTTTCCCAATTAACAATTAAACTAGCTATATACTTGAAATTTGATATATTAAAATAATGCAAACAACACTTTAGAATATCTGTATATAAGCCTGATCGTATGTGAACACAACTTACCCTATCCACTGCTATGTTGTTTTACAAAATCAGATAAATATATGAATTATATATATTTTTAACGTGTTTTATGTCTCCTAAGTTTTTGCTCTACAGCCGGAGTATTCAAGTATTATTATTTAATATGTATTAAGCGCTGATTATTCAAATGTATTATTACATTTTTTAAAAGTCATGCTACTTGTGCTAAGGTGATCTTTATCTGTACTGACTTATGGAATCTATTATGTCTAATTGTGTACATCGTTACATAATTATGTCAGTGATCTTTATCTGTACTGACTTATGGAATCTATTATGTCTAATTGTGTACATCGTTACATAATTATGTCAGTGATCTTTATCTGTACTGACTTATGGAATCTGTTATGTCTAATTGTGTACATCGTTACATAATTATATCAGTTATTGAAGATACACATATTTTCATTCCATGTTTTTAGTTTCATGTGTGATATGTTTTTGTTTTAATGGAAAATACCCTATAAGATGCTCTCTTAAGAGTAAAAGTCCTCAGAAAAATTTTCCCGTCATCAACAAAATAGTAGCCCAAGAGTTGGCGGTGGGTGATGGTGACTAGCTGCCTTCCCTCTAGTCTTACACTGCTAAATTAGGGACGGC